CCTCGCTAGACACAGCCGCTCATTACCATAACCGTCTGCAGCGACGGCGGCGCAGCGCCCCAGCCGCGGCGGGGACCTGTCGGGACCCTCGCCCGCCGCCGCCGACCGGGCCGCCGGGTCGGGACCCGCGCCGCTGTGCACCGGCGGCCGCGCTGGAGCCGAGCCCGAAGCGGACCAGGGGCCGCCACCTCCCCGCTGACCCCGCGGTAAGAGCCGGGCTGAGCGCGGGCCGCGGGGGCGGAGAGCCGGGCCGCGCGGAGGGCGAGGGCCGGTGCCCCCCAGGGGCGTCCTCGCGCGGCCCCGGGGTCACTGGGTGGCCTGGCGAGGACCCGAGCGAGGCCGGGATGGCTTGGGGGTCGGGGCACAGCTGCGCGCGGAGGCGGCGCGGGCTTTTCCCGGGGCTGGCGTGCGCAGGGCGGGAACCGCCGCCGCCTCCGGGGCTGCTGGGGCCGCTCCGGCTGCCGCCCGCGCGCGCACGGAACGGACCCCGGGGAGCAGGTGCGGCCAGCAGCTCCGGGCAGCAGCTGGGTCTCTCCTCTGCGGGGACAGGGGGCTCTGCGTTAGAGAGGTCCCCAGAACTGGAAGCCGCGGCGCTCGGCAGGTGGGCAGGGAAGGGTTGTGGATGTCAGGGGCGCGCGGTTGCGAGAAAAAGGAATCGCTGCGGGAGCTGACACCTTCTGTCCCCCCCACCCCCCGCCACCTCCGCCCCCGCGCCCTCCTCCCCGGCAGCCGAGCCGCGCTGCGGGCGGCGGCTGCTCTTCTGTCCTTAGCTCACCTCCCCGGGCGGGCTGAGGCTGCTGGCCGCCGGGTCCACGCCTCCGCCTCTCTCCTCCCTTCCTCCCCTCCCGCCTTCTTGGTCCCAGCAACTTTCCCGAGCGCCCGGCTACGGCCGCACCGGCAGGGCAGAGGCGGCCTTCGGACGGCGGGGAGGTGCGGGCCGGGTTCCCGCCTCGGGTCCCCCGCGCGCACCGGGCGCTCGGGCAGCAGCGGTTGCGGGTGGGACGGGCAGGCGAGGCCGGGAGGCCGGGCCGGGCATCTGCTGCGGGCTGGAGCGCGGGGCCCGGGCCAGCCTCGCCAGAGCCCTGCCAACCGCCGTGAGTCACTTCCTTGGAATCCTACCTTTGGTGTTTATTTCCCTTAGAAGGAAACTTGGTTTAAGGGGGGAAAAAAAGGAAGACGAAAAGAAAGAATAATAATAGCTCTTATTCTGCAGGAGAGGCGCAGGGCTCTGGCCCCGTGGAAAGACAACTTGCCTTTGTTCCCAGGCACTTGGGGTGCTGTTGACTTTCTCCCACGGCTAGCCGAGCACAGCGGGGGAAGGGGCTTCAGGGATTGTGGCGCTTGCCCCTGGAGCTCTGTGCGCCAGCCGCCGCCCGCCTGCAGGGGGTCGACCTTGCGAACCTAAGATATCCCCTCAGTCGCCTCCTCCGGCCTCTGCTGGGCAAAGTCAGCACCGAGTGACACCCCGACAACCCCCTCTCCCCCTCCCCTGCTGCGCCCTCCCCGCACCCAGCACCAGCGTTCCCAACTCCACGGCCCAAACTAAAACCCTTAGCCTCGAGAGACCGCGGCTGAGACACGTACTTCCCAGGCAGGTGTACCGCAGGGACCGGCAGAGAAGCGACATCTGCCTGCTTAAAGGGCTGAAGAATTTCATTCTACCCACCCAGATCCTTCCAACACCCTCCCGAGCCAGACAAGCTGTTGAGATCTTGTTAGGGACAATGTGGAAATCAGGGCCCTGGTTCCACCTGGCAGGACCCGTGAGACTTGGCAGTATGGCTGCTGCTTGCCTGCGGTCCAGCCGGCACACTCCCCTGGGCTGCAGAGCACAGTCAGTCCTCTAACAGCTGTAGTGCTTTAAAGAAAATGCTGTGTTCCCCACAGCCGTGGCAGTAGGGGGACCGTGACCCGGAGTCCCCATAGAGCCCCGGGCTGTCCCATTGGTGTGCTGGCCTCTCCCATTAGCATTAGCATCACAATGGCACGAAAGAAGCCACAAGCCCAACTCAACTGAGAAAAAAAAAAAACAATGTGTATAGAAATGCCTGGTAACTTTACTATGAACATTTGCAGAAACACTTGACATTTTTGCCCCCAGCCTTCCGGGGATGTTTGAAAGGTCCTTCATCCCAGGATGTCCACTTGGGTGACAAAACAGATGGTGCAAGCTCCTGCTGATGTGTCCCAGTACGGACAAAACACACCTTGGTCGCCCTCCTTTTGAATCTGTGCCTCTCTGAGGGGTGGTAAAGAAACCAGTTTTACTACCATCTGTATCCCTGGGGCGGTACTTAATATTATTAGCACATTGAAAATTTAACAATCAGTAGCACATGAATTTATGGACTTGAACTTCTGAATTCAGTAGCAGAATTAAAATGGAAATCTCATACAGAGAGGAATGCCAACTCTATCTCTACATGTGTTACAGATAAAAATTCACATGAAACAATGATGCTTAGGACTTACTGTATAGGCCAGCTTTTCAAGAGCACTAAACTTGCCTTCTTGATTTGTTAACATCCTACTGTAAATTCTAAATAGACTAGGAAAACTTTGGTAAAAATCTCCTCCCTATTCCCCAGTAATCCCAACTCATTCATGTTTTATTCAGATTTACATAAATCACTGTCAGAACCCAGCCACTCCAGTTTAGGATGTTGTGTGTAACCGGTTCCAATTCAAGAAAAAAAAAAAAACTTACCCAAATTAGACATTGTAAACAAAAGAAATAGCCAGGATAAAAACTATTAGGTCACATTTCAAGTTCCAATACATAATGATAGAATTTCATATGCTGGGAACAAGACTAACAAATACAAACACTGGAATTGTGAACAATCAAAAAACTGCTCCTCCAAAGTCATGAAAATATAAACAATCGTGTTATAAAGCAGAACGAGGCTCAGGTGATGTGCTGCTCAACCAGGTCACTGCTGCTAGGAACGGTGCGATGCTTTCCTGAAAGGAGGGGGGGCTGCTCACCTTGCCTTTGTGTGTATGTCAAGAAAGTTCTACACAGGCAGTTGTTGGGTCTTACCCCAGAGTCCGCACGAAATGTGTGCACATTGCAAGCTGGCAGTATCCTGACTTCAGTAGCAGAGGGCTACTGAGTAATAAAAGTTCCCTGCAATAGCATTCTCTGCTGTGGTTATCTCTAGGAATAGATGAAGACATTGAACTACTGAAGGAATATCTTCCAGAGAATGAAATACCACGAGATTCTGATGCCTTGCCTGGATTTGGAGTTTAAGTTAGAATAGCTTAGTTTGTTCAATTAACATAGGTTCAATGTCTTGGTTGATGCCTCAAAGAGAAAAATAAGTGGCATGATCCACTCTGTTTCTTTATAGAGGTGAATTGAACCTGTTTCTCTCTGTGTTAATAAGGCTTCCTAATGAGTCCTTGCCGTTGGCTTTGGGAAGCGCTTTGTATAAGAGAAGGTGATGGTGGGTTACGGCTCAGAGCAGCCCCTTTGCCCCGCCCACCTGCATGGCTTTCCTGCCTGTCAGAAGGCCTGGCTTGGAGACCTCAGGAGTCATTGCTGCCAAGAGCCGCTCTGTCAGCCCCAAGGCCACTGTCACTTTAATGAAGCTGTTTGTTCTTTCCCGGCGGGTCCCCCTGCTTTCACCTGGAAGTGGCCCTTGTCCTGGCGTGTAGCTCATGATGGTCTCATGATGGTCTCCCCCTAGCTGCTCCTTTCCGCAGAACATCACGAGCTGTGTAATTGGGAAAAGAAAGGCAGAATAAGACCCTTAGTGCCGAGTTGAAAGACAGTCAATCTTCAGAAAGCAAGCCCACGTCACTCCGGTGACAGTTCTGGAAGCCGCCAAGTGAGAGAATGGCTGTTTGGTCTCCTAAGTAATTGGCTGCTTAACGAGGCTGGGAGGCGGCTTTGCTGTCCCCACCATCCAGGCATGGTCTCCCAAGTTGCTTTGCCCTGATGGCAGGCTCCCATCGCCCTTGAACTTAGCTCCGCATCCCAGCTTGAGCCCAGCCCAGGACCAGGTGAAGACAAGGAGCACCCCCACCCCCACTCCATACAAGGTGTTGCCCTGGCTCTGGGCAGAGTTTCCCATCTCCCTGCTGGACCAGAGGAAAGGCGTGAACGGGAGGGCAGGGCGGCCAGGAGGTGTTGCCTCTTGGAAAGTTCTTGCCTGGTGTCTGGTCTTTGGCTGTGGGAAGAGTTGTTGGCTGCCTCTGGCCCCAGAGCCCTGGCTCCTGTTTAATATTCTGCCTGCTCCGCTGATGTTGTGCTTGGCTCCTGTGGGACTGCAACTCAGGGCTTGAAACTGGAGCCAATTTTCTGTCTTCATCTCGCAGTGTTTTGACTGGAGGCAGATCCAGTTCAGGCCGATCAGGGCTGGTAGAAACAACTACCAAGTGTCTCAGAATCGGCTGCGCCCCAGGAGAAGGTGGAGGGAGCCCCAGAGTGTTGGAGAGGAGCTGGCTTTGGCCAGCCGAGGAGGAGGGGGAAGGGGGTGAGGGGGTTGCGGAATACACCAAACCCCTGAGCATCTGTTGGGCTCCCCCCACCAGTTTCTTGTGATTGATTAGTGGATTTCATCAAAGGAGACTCCCAGGGGATTGACTAGAAAATTGATTTTGCTTTATTAATAGGGAAGAAGCGCAAGGGTTTTGGCCCTGCCTCTTCGCGGTACACTTTCCGTGGGAAGGTCAGGAGGAGACTGTGTTTAGGAGGCAAAGCAGCTGCCTGGAAGAGGGCCGAGGGGAATCGGAGAACAATAAGAAATGGGCTTTCAAAAGCCGCCCAGGAAATGCAGATTGCTGAACACAGAGGCCGAGCTAATGGCAGCAAGACTTCGCTGAGGTTTTCTCTGGAAAAAAAAATTCAAAATGCTGCAGGGTGAAGGGGTTGGACAGGGAGTCAAAGTTTCCCAAAGCGAAGGAATGAGGACTCCGAGCCCGTCCCCTGGCTTGCTTGTGACCAGGGCTATTCTCCTTCTTTTCTCTTCGCAGATCTGAGGCTGTCAGAGATGACTCTGGTTCTGTCCATGAATAGATTCTGCGAGCCCATTGTCTCGGAAGGAGCTGCTGAAATTGCCGGGTACCAGACACTATGGGAGGCTGACAGCTACAGAGGCCCGAGCCCCCCTGGCCCACTGCAGGCCCCTCTGCAGGGAGACCGGGGTGCCGGGCCCCCTCTGGCAGGTACTCCCTTTGGCCTTCTGTTGCCCTCTTGGGCCAGGCTGGTAGATGGGAGGTGGTGGCAGGGGCGCTCTTCTGAGCCCAGAACGAATGTGTTCAGGCTTCAAGGGCTGAGAGTCAGCCCAGGGCTCCAAGGAGAGGATCACAGGCGATATTTAAATCACAGTCCAATCTGCTACATCCACCTGCTCTCCTGCCAGCAGCGGAGTGGAGTATTTGTATTTGGGTTTTCTACCCTGCGGAGGGTGGATGTTAAGCCTGTCTCAAGGTATGTAAGCCCTGGTGGTGGGCGTGGCAAAGCAGTCTGCATCCCCTGAGACATTAAGCCCTTGCCCTTGGGCCAACAGCTTTGTGTGTCTTCTTTTTAGTAGGACACACTCAGTGCTGGTTCTTGTAGGGGAACACTTTTGAAGCTAAGAAATTTGTTATTCCTGGTTTTGTTATTCTCAAAGTCTAAGATGAATTCCTTTGGATTTTTGTGTATCCTTGGCTATTTAAACAAAAAAGAATATAAAGTGAGTTCTTAACAGAGCCTGTCTGATGAAAAATGAAAGTATTATAAGCTGTGGTCTTTAACAGACTCTACTTTTATTCATGATTGACTTATTGCATTTTTGAGTGAAAGGATCTTAGATACCTTATAATTTTTACCTTTGTATTTTCAAAGAGGGAATGTTGCATCTTGAACGGGCAGACAATCACTTGTCTGTTAGCCCAGAGTCAGTGATCTTTGGAGCTTGTTGCGTCATCAGTGGGTGTGGTCAAGCATGTGTGTACTTTGCACAGTGATGTTATGTTGTCATGGATTCACCTAGACAATTTGAACGGGCACTAATGTGATTTCAGAGTTGGAAACACTCCTCCCCTGTACGAATGCTGATGCCAGTGCCTGGAATTAAGTCAATGCAGTAAACGTTGAAATGTGTCATTTTCTTTTGTCATTGCCCAGCCGTCCTCACCTGGCCTGGGTCAGGATTCTTGATAGCACCTATCAAGACCAGTGTTTATTTTTAATCACTGCATGTACAGACAAATATGCAGACTAGTTACCCTCTAGAAGGAAAGGAAGTGAAAGTATTTTGTTTGGAGAACCTCTGGCAAACCGCATGTCATTTGTCGTATCTGATTTATTACCACAGGATCACATTACAGGGGAATTTCAAATCCTATAACAACATCCAAGATCACATACTTTAAGAGGAAGTATGTGGAAGAAGAGGATTTTCACCCACCACTCAGCAGCTGTAGCCATAAAGTATGTTTTCTTAATAGTCATTTTTATTAAGAGTTTAAGATACTTAAGTAACAGTTGCTTGATCCAGTTCCAGAAATTAAATTGTTTCACCCAAGCAATGAGCATGAGCCATATCTCAGCAGAGCCGCATTAATCGTTGTCACTTTCTTGGGTCTTGTGTTATTTTTCATAAGTACTGGGAGAAAGAGCCAGAAAGAGATCTTTTCCTCCTAGAAATAACAAAATTATATAAGCCAACAGTGTCTTTTTTACGTATGACTTAGTATTTTCCTAGGTGCACTAAGGGTTATGGTGATTCAACTCCTTCACGAGTGGGGAACGCGCTCATTTCCTCTCACCTGCTGTCCCCGGTCCGAGCCCTGAACCCGGTGGGCTTCTGCGCCTGCCTACGTGGGACTGGTTACTCAGGCCTTGTTCTGCCCTGCTGGCAGGCAGGCTTGCCTCAATGTGAGCTTCCTAGTGGGGAAAGGTACTTCACTGTGCATTCATTGCATATGTGAAGTTTGTTGAAATACACAATTATTCCCAAAGGGGGGGGGTGGAACTAACTGGTATATGTGAAGAAACTTCCAAAAGTTCATGAAAATTGTTTTTAAAAATTATTTTTTTAATTTAAAAAGTCTGAGACAGAGACAGGGACAAGATCAGGGAAAGAGACAAAAGAGAGATCTCCCCTCCACCAATTCACTCCTCAGATGCCCATAGCAAGCCAGGACTGTGGCAGTCCACGGCTAGGAGAGAGAAAGTCAGTCTGTGCCTTCCACATGGGGGTACCAAGGACCCAGCTGCTGGGACCATCACCTGCTGGCTCCCAGGGTACACGCTGGCAGAGAAATGGACAGAGAGCAAGTCTGGAACTTGACCACAGGCCCGCCAGTGTGGGATGTCTTCGCCCTCACCCCAAATGCATGTCCCTGTGTTGCTTTTTCATTCTGTTTCCTCAAACTTTCTGAAGCTCTCTTATATAGTAGGAAGGTAATGCAATGGGGGAAAGTGCATAGGATTGTGAAAATGGGAAACTAAACCTCTGAAATAGCTCTTTTTTCCCACAATGATACTTCCCTTTAAAAAGATCCTACAACCAAAAAAAAAAATTATTAAGTCAAGGGAAGTCTAACCCCAGTCTGTGGTTACCTGAAATTTAGAGAGAATTTTTAGTTCATTTTTCCTCTCTGCTCCTGCCCCTTCCTCACGTCCCATCCCTCAAATGCTGCTGTTAAGACACCAGCCTACTTCCCCAGCCATTGGCCTTTTCCCTGCAGATGGAGTCCCTTCTCTTGGGCTGGCCTTGACTGAGTTTGGTTCCCAGCTCCTCAGACTAAGTTCCAGCTTGGTTTGTCCAGGACCTGGGAGAAGTGGTCCCCAGGACTCGTAGACCAGGTCTCCTTTATGGTTTCTGTTGTTCTGTTCTTTAGCAAGGGTGATTGTATCCCAGAGGGTGAAACAAGGGGCAGCACTTGAAGTCAGTTCTTTGAAGGCTGGAGTAGGCATACAGAATGATTAGTATGACCTGCAGCTTGGCATCTTAAAAAAAAAAAAGTCTACTGGTACACAGTCTGCACGTGCATGTGTGCCTGTTTACGCATGTATTTAAAAATGCAAACATCTCAGTGCAGCTTGGTGAATTTGACAGAATTGAGCATTGCCTAATAACGAAACAGGCAGGTCAAGAACTAAAACACAGCAACAACCAGAATCATTTCTTGCACCTGTCTCTAGTCCCAACCCTCTGCTCTCCTAAGTAACAGCTCTCCTGACTTCTAAGAGCTTAGATCCAGTGTGAATTCTGACATCTTTTTGATTGGCCTAAAAAAAGAGTGAACACTCCAGTTGGGTGCCACCATTGCCAACCTCTCTCCACATTGTCCTGGGGTCAGTCCCCAAGTGCTTGAGCACACAATAAGTCAGGAAGGGGACAGGAGCACCTGTGGGTGAGAGAAAGGGATTTCGGCCTCCCTGGGGACTGGGGACAGCATCTGCAAGTGAAGCTGGAGGAAGCTAGGCCTCAGCGTTCCGAAACTCACTGCCCAGAAAGCAATGTGTCAATGCCAGTAGCCGTACATTGCCAGTGTCCCTAAGCTTTCTCTCTGTTTTTGACTTGTAGACCATCTCGATTTTTGAGGAACGAGCCCACATCCTTTATATGTCTTTAGAAAAGCTCAAGTTCATTGATGACCCAGAAGTGTACCTACGAAGATCTGTCCTCATCAACAACTTGATGAAAAGAATCCATGGAGAGATCATCATGCAGAACAACTGGTGCCTCCCTGCCTGCTCCTTCAGCGGCGCCTCGGCCCAGGAGTGGTTTATGACTCAAGACTGTCCGTACCGGAAACGACCGCGGATGGCCAAGGAGGAGTGCGAGAAATTTCATGCCTGCTGCTTCTACCAAGAATGTGGTGGTCATTACCTAAATTTACCCTTCTCTGTCAATGCTAATGTCGGAAGTGCCTCCAACACCGCCTCCTCTTCCTCTTCCTCCTCATCTTCTTCCTCTTCCCCTCTACCATTACCAAGTTGTTCCCATCAGGTGGATTTTGACCTAGGCAGTGCACCTCTGTACAAAAGCGATGGCCACATACCTGCCAATGAAATCTTTGTCACCAATGTCAGGTCACTAAGTGATGAGAAAGCAAATGACATCAGCAGAGATGGTGGCCCCCTCAGCCATGAACCTGTGGGACACGACCTTGCTTTTGAGTGCAAAGGCCAATTTTATGATTATTTTGAGACTGGATACAATGAAAAACACAATGTCAGTGAGTCTTGGAAAAAGTCTTTAAGGAAAAAGGAACCTTCACCGGGTAATAAACTGTGTTGCAGCAAAGGAAGTAAAATATGAGCCATCTTTTTCCCTGAAACTTTGATGCATGCCCAGCATGATCAATTAGCTCTCATAAATTTTATTTTGAATGGATTTTCTAGTTTTGTACAACTGGTAAAAATTATGCTATGAACATGCCGTGTCGTTGTAATGCCTGGAGAGCAGATTGCATTAAACATCTATACAGAGGCATCAGCAAGCTACTTATCAATGTGATGATTTTCCCAAGAAAACAGTTGACTTGATGCTGAAGAGTCTTAGTTTTCTTACAGACAAGATCAATAGATTGGGTTGGGGGACAGTGTGTCCCTGTGGCATCTCCAGTGCCCCTGTTCTCCCCTAACCCCCAAAGAGCCTGACACTAGCTAAGAACCTTCAACGCGTTTGCCAATTAAGTAGACGGTTATTTGGTCATCCAAGCCATGTAACCAGCAAAGGATGTCTGCGTTTCCTATGTGATGCATTTATTTTTTTTCTACATAAGAGACTGAAGACAGGGAGCTAGGTGAAATGGCTTCCTGGTGCTGTTAAGTATTCGTATTTAGCAGCCTCATGTGATGTGCAAACGGGACGTGATGTCACAAAGTGCACCTGCCCACAGTCCGTGGAGACCATGATCCCTGCAAGTTCCTGGCTTGCCTGTGGTGGGTTGGGTGCTGAGGCTTTGAGAGAGGTGGTATACAGGGCGATTCTTGGTGCCTTACTTTATCTTAATTTTTGCCAATGTGAAAATTAAGGATGAATCAGAGTTACAGCAGGGATTTAACAAACAGGAGAAAAAAAAATAAAACAGGGTGGATCAGTATGGTTTGGAAACTGTTAACTTTGAACTGTTGTGTTCACCTTTTGAGTCGACATCTCTCTTCTTTATTTTCGATGCCTGATTGCTTTTGGCTTTGGCATTTTTGGATAGGGAATGGAGGGACAAAGGAGAGAGCCAAGAGAAACCAGCACGGGCTGCCTGGGCTTCTCTATGGCAACCATCTGTTGCTGGGTTTGGATTTTCTGGGTTTTGGGTTGTTTTGTTTTGGTTTGTTTTCTTGTCCAATGAAGTTCATGAACCAGTGGCATGCATTATCCTCTCATCTGTTTTGCATCATTTCACTTGTTTAGATTATAAAAGCATGTGGTTTTTTATATGACTTTTTGCTATTGATTACGAAGCACAATGTTAATAAACGATGTGGTGATCAATAAGGTTTCTCTTAAAGAAGATTTTAGCTCGTGGAGAAGTTATTTTGGAGAAATGGGACTTCATCCGTAACAGTTACTGTGTATTTACTCAACATTCTCTGCAATGATGTCTTTAATTTGTGCGTTTGCAGGAGTGTGTGGTGAGGCCCTCTGCCTGCCTTCCGTCCACTCCAGCCAACTGTTCCTGCTAGGCTGTGTGCCGGTTGCCAAGGCTACTCATTGACTTGAGCCTCTTTAAACTTCGTAAGAACTCAATGCCAAACAGAGGAAATAAGTGAGTCCTCCCGGTTTCTCCAAGATAAAGCTTTTTAAGATTATTGCTATTAAATATAGGTCTCATTCATACAGTGTATGAGTCGGATCATTTGGGCAGTTGTCCACAAGGACCAATTTTTGAAACATTTTCTTGTGTTATAGCGAAATAGCCTAGTAATGTTTTGTCCTTTATTTTCAATATTTGATAAACATTTGATGTTGACAATTTAGATGATAGATGCTTGTATATGAATGTGTTGTAATAAAGTGAGGTTTTCTTGATATATATTTATTAAAATGATCAAAATTCATTAAGGTTTGTCTTAATGGCTGTTGGCTATATTTCTCTTTTCCATTTTTGTTTCCCATTTAAAAAAAAAAAAACCTTAAAGCATCCTGAAATTGTAGACAATTGACATACAGGAGTTTCAAACTAAAAGTCCTTTAAGAGGCAATCCCACATGTGTTGTGGAATGGTCCTAGTTGTATAGATTTAGATTTCTGTGAAGAAGCACAGCATGAAGGGATGATGTGGTGATCAATAAGGTTGTATCCTAAGGATGTGGGAATTTTCCTTTTTTACAAAGTTTCTGAAAAAAAAAAAATGCATAGCCCAAAGCTGTAAACACTGAATCCTAACTGATTCCCTTTTGAAGTGGCAGACTTTTGAAAGACTAGGACCCAAGCATAAACAGTTACAGCAGCTGCCAGAGCTTGCCAGTGGCATTCCAAACCATTCTGTATTCACGTTATTCTTAGAGGCCACGATTGTGTTTGATAATGGGAGAAAGCAAGTTGAGAGGTCATTCAGTTCAAATGCAGCACTCTTACCATGTGCTTCACACCTCACGGAGATTTAAGTATGGAAGACTTGCCCGTTTGCTTTCTAATAGCCCTGCTGCTATGACAGTGCTCCTGGAAGGCCTCAGCTGCCTAATGAGAGGCTGCTGATGGTGGACAGGTCCCACTGGAGACATGGACTCTGCTCAGCAGAAGCTACTAGAATGCATCTGTGGGCGAACAAGTGGTGCCTTTGAATCCAGGGATATAAACATATTTTGCACTTCAGGTTTTTGTATCCAGGACATTACCAACACACTGAAAGACATTCTCTCCTTCCTCAAAAAGTCATCCCCAAACACCCACTCAATTACAAACCTTTTCCTGTGGTTACCATGAAGCACCATGCTAATTATGTTGGCTCCTAACTATATGGTCTCTGAGTGCCCAGCCTTGTCATTTCTATTCGTGGCATCTCAAGTTAGATTCTTGAAGAGTGGCCAAGGCATCCCTTTGGTGCAGGTGGAACCTGTCAATTTGGTGCTCTGGTTTGGTCTGCAGAGACTTGGAGAAGGTACAACACCCTCCACCCTACCCTGCTCACCACCATCTATGCAAGAAGCTCCCCTCACTGCTGTGTCATCCTTTAGGTAAAATTTGGTGTGGTAGGATCCAAACTTCCATGTAGATTAAGGGAAATCTGTGCTTATTAAAAGTGGCCCTGCTTCCCAGCAGTACTAGCTCCTTCTCTTCCGTCTCCTTTCTGTCTTAAAGTGGCTGCTCACAGAAGGTGGTATGGCAGACACATGTCAAAAGGGGGCAGGAACCATCCCAGGTTTCCCACTCCTCAAAGCCTGGGAGTCTGCTGTTCACCTTGAAGGGGGCTGGAGCAGCCTTGCAGGGAAGCAGGAGGAAAGCAGACACCTGGAGAAGCAGAAGCTGCTCTCTGACAGCCGACCCACCGTTACAGTGAAGCGCCTTTTCATGCTTTGGCCTGACCTTTGAAGGCAATACAAATTTAGAACGCTTCACAAGCTACTTTGCTAAACAAATACAGAAGCAAGTGGATGAAGGCATATATTTTTAGAGCCCGTAGTTAACTTTGGCAAGGCATGGCTACCCGCCCCTCCAGGCATGAACTTGATCACTTCCTTTCTGTGTATCAGGACAGGAGAAAACAACTCACAGAAGGCATAGGAGTTAAGAGACACCATCTTTCACAGCAGACATCCAAGACAGCAGGACTTATGTGATGCAGCTTTTACGAGTCTCCAGTAGTTGAACAGGACATGTTCTTGGGGGTAAAATGAGTTTTGAAATTCATCTTTATGACGGCCCTTTGCACTTAAAATCCTTCTGTTGGTAGTTAAGGTTGCCGCATCTCTGCTGGTTTCACTAGGTCTCCTCAAAGACAAGGATTCAGGAAGGCGATAGCAATAGATGCCGAACTGTCCTGTGCTTAGAAGAATAAAGTCAGTATTTAAATAATAAAAGAAAAGGTGATGTGTTTTAGGCATTTATTTTATGAATGCTGTGCTTTGATTTTGTGGTTTAAAATAAATGCATTAGGATTTTTTTTTTAAGTTGCAAGATGCCTCTGTTACTTCCTGAAGAGTCAACATTGTGTAAGCATGGTAGCCTCTCTCTAAAACATCTCCATTTTATGTGCTAGAGTGACATGACCTGGGGTGAAACAGTTGCTAGTTTAGAGTAGTTTAGAGCTTGTTTCCAGCCTGGGTTCCTGCCATATTTTAGCTGGGAGAATAGCAAAAGTACTTGTGAAGATGTAAGTTATGAACACTTGAAGCTCGCATCCTGCCATAAAGTGCATCAGCAAGTGAGTTTAATAAAACATGCTGTTTAAAATAGTCTGTAATTTCCTGTTTCTGCATTTCCCTTCAGTATCTGTGACAGGCTGAAGAAGGATGACTAAACGGAGGGAATTTATACAAGCTAGTCTGGTGGTGTTTGCAAACCACCGCCATGAGCTTCGTCGTCTTTGGTAAACAATTCTCTGGTGGGCTGTCTATGACTGAGGTTTTTTTTCCCCATTGCTGTTGATTCATTTAATTTTGAAGATACAAGCTGCTTATCCATAGCCTGAAAACACCTGCTTTTGACCACAATGAAACCGATAGGAAGGTTATTAGTCATGTCTCATGAAACTCCCCCTATTTTTCCAATCCATTTAAATAACTATTTCCTTAATTTAAAATTATAAAATCAAGTGCCATGTATTGGGAAGAGAATACACATCGAGCAGAACTTGCGAGATGTTGCAATCTTGCTTCCTGTAAAAAACCCAAAGTCAGTAGGCAAGTATGAGAACTTGGGGAGGAACAGGTGCGAGCTAGCTGATGACTGACTGTCCAGATCATTCCATGGAAGCAGCTGAGTTGAGGAGGCCGCATCCCCCAGCTCGCCCAGGAGCCCTGCTCTAATATCCTACAGGTTGACTCTACAGATACCCCTGAAACAATTGCAAGGAATGAAATTCAGGTGTGGGTCGTCCTGGCCTTGCTCTCAGGAGGGGAGTAGATGACTCTGAAATGCACCTGGCATAGCACTCAAACATCTAAACTACCTTCAAAACTCAAATCACCCGTGTATGAAGAGGAAGGAAAAGCTGGAGAATATCAAGCTAAGGAAGGGATTTGGGCCAAAGGTTAGGGGTTGCTTTCGGAGTCAGTAGAGTGGAAGAAACCTGAGGATCTAGCAGCATGTGTTCACTTCTCTAAGGAAAAGTGTGAAGACTAAAACGGTAAGAAGACAAGAAGTATTTTTCTTTTTCAAGCTTCCTAAAGACAGGAAATAGCATTTCGGGAACTGAAGCATTTTCTCTGAAGTGTTGCAGAGAAATGGTATGTACTTTCTTGGAGTTGGGCGGGTTTTTTGTTTGTTTTTTTGTTTTCATTCTCCAAGTCCTTATTTAGTGCTGTGCTTTGCAGTAAACCCACCAAACCGTCTTCATGGTTATGCATAGGCCGTTGTCCAGGGCATCGCTCCTGTTAGTTCAGACTCAGAGGCAGAGGATTTCTTGAGCCTGACATGTAGTAGAGAACCAAGAATAGGGTCTGGAGTCAGAAAGCCCCCATGTAAATCCAAGCTCTGCCATTGAAGTTGTGCAAACTTGCCCCCCCCCCGCCCCCTGCCCAATCCCCTTTACCCTGTTTGGTTTTTTTTGTTTGTTTGTTTTGGTATGTAAAACAGTAGTAGTCATTGGGAGGTTGGCTGCCAATTGGGATCCTGGCATTCCATCTTGGAATGTTGCTTCTAGTTTTGGTTGCTCTTCTTTCAATCCAGCTTCCTGCTCATGTGCTTGGGGAAGGCAGCAGCAGATTGATTCCAGTTCTTAGACTTCTGCCATCTACACAGGAGACCTGAATGGGGCTTCTGGCTTCAACCTGACCCAGCTTTGGCTGTTGTAGCCATTTGGGGGAATGAATTAGCAAATGGCAAATTTCTTTCTCCTTACCCCTTGTCCTTCAAATAAATAAATACTTTAAAAAAGAAAAGTAGTCACCCCTGAGGTGTGTCTAGACTAATGTTCTCCAAAGCCCACTGCAGCCACAATGTTACTTACAAGTGGCTACACAGGCTGACCCATGCCAGATTTCCTTATCTGTGGCTTGGATGAAATCAGTTTCACTTTAATACACTTATCACCACCTGAGAAGGAACTCTGAAAAAATAAAGGCATTTTCGAACAGATTTATTTTCTGTATTTGAAAGGTAGAGTTTACAGAAAGAGAAGAAAGGACAGAAAGATCATCCACTGGTTCACTCCCCAAATTGCTGCAGTGGTAGACAGGGACTGTCCCAAGCCAAGAGCTTCAACTGGGTCTTTCATATGAATGTAGGATACTTAGGACTTGCTTTTCCAGGTACATTAGCAGGGAGTTGGACCCGAAGTGGAGCAGCCAGGACTCGAACTGGCATCCCTATGGGATACCAGCATTGCAGGTGGCAGCTTTACCCAATACGTCACAATGCTGGCCCCAAGGCATTATTTTTAATTACTGCAATTTGTTTTGAAGAATCTTTCAGAAAACTAGCTGTGTGGAAGGAATGAAGAGGTGTCCCTTACAAGTGAAAAGATGAAAAGCCACTCACCTCTGACTCATTCTTGGGATTTGCCAAAGTTCACTGTTACTGTATTGAATGATTCTCTTAGATCTTGTCTTTACTTGGAAGAAAGTGCAGTAGCAAGCAAAAGAAATGGTGGTGGTGGTGATGGTGGGTGTTAATTTAGATTCAGCAATGTTCCTTCTGTGATTTTCTGAGCCAAGCAGAATTTTCTGGATAATTACAACTTTGAGGGCATAGCCGATCATGAAGCAACTAGGATAGTTTTCACTGATGAATTCTAAGTTCAAAAACCAGATCACCTAGAAAGAACTTGTCCCTGCTGCACTCATCACTTCATCCTGCCAGTAAACTTGTCCCCGGTGCAGGGTCTCAAAGTAGGATTGCAAAATTATATGTGCATCGCTTCCCATGTTTCAGGAGCATGTTTTTCTACAAGGCAAGGTGTG